CCCTGCCCGCAGCGAGGTGCAGAAGGCGGTGAACACAGCCCGCGGGCTGTACCAGCGCTGGTGTGAGCTCCTGCAGGAGGGCGCCGCGGTCGGCCGCGAGGAGCTGGACTGGACGACCAATGAACTGCGGAATGGCCTGCGCAGCATCGAGTGGGACCTCGAGGACCTGGAGGAGACCATCGATATCCTGGCGGGTCGGAGGGTTGGAGGACGGCCTGGGAGAGCCAGCCCATTGCGGTGGCAGGGGGATCTGGGAGGCTGGACACCGGGGAGGAGTTGAAGGCTTTGAGGCCGATGAGGGGGTTGTGTCTAGCTGTGGCCTTGACTCTTGACCCGGGGGCTACGCATAGTGGAAGCCAACCCAGGCAAGTTCAAGCTCCCAGCTGGGGACCTGCAGGAGAGAAAGGTCTTCGTGGAGCGGATGCGGGAAGCGGTCCAGGTGAGAGGAGGTTATGATGGGGTAAGGGTGGAGGTTGGGGCGTCTTTACTCTCTGATGCTGTCCTCACCCCCAGGAAATGAAGGACCATATGGTCAGCCCAGCAGCCGTAGCCTTCATGGAGAGAAATAATAGAGAGGTAAGGCATCTCGACCTGACCCGAAACATTTTTCAGGGTGAGCCTCTCAGTGCGTGTTTGCTTGTTCCTGGGAAAGTGTACGTCTGTCCCTATATGTCAGTGCCCATCCTCCTTGTGTGCAGTCCTCTTGGCTGTCTACCTGCCTGCTTTCTGTATGTGTATACCTGAGCCCTCACTGATTGTATAATACTCCCTTCTGCCTTGTCCTGGAGGTCTATACTGGTTTCCCGGGGTGGGGGTGGGGTGGGGGGTGAGTGGTGTCTGTATACCTATCCACTTTCTTTGTGTTTACTGTTTCCAGCATAATGCCTACTTTTTTTTCTGTGTATGCTCTTGACCTATCTGAGTGTGTGAACTTGGCCTCTGAGTGTATCTTATCTGCCTTGTGCATGCACACCTTCCCCCCCACCCCCATGGGTGTGCTTGCTTTGTGTGTGTGCCTGCTCATGCCTTTTGTTTGAATGCTTCCTGCTGCCTGTCTGTACTCCTTTCCCCTCTGTGTTGCATGCCCATTCTTTGTATGTTGTGACACCACCAGCCTCTCCCCCATCCCATCATAAGCCCACATGGGATCTGGGAGGGTGGGGGAGCTGAGGCCCACACCAGCTTGGAGTCCTGTAGCAGTGTCTATGTCAGCCGTGGGCAAACTATGGCCCGCAGGCCGGATCCAGCCCGTTTGAAATGAATAAAACTAAAAAAAAAAAAAGACCGTACCCTTTTATGTAATGATGTTTACTTTGAATTTATATTAGTTCACACAAACACTCCATCCATGCTTTTGTTCCGGCCCTCCGGTCCAGTTTAAGAACCCATTGTGGCCCTTGAGTCAAAAAGTTTGCCCACCCCTGGTCTATGTGCTTTCCTGGTGTGCTGCCTTGGGGATTAAAGTCCAAATTCTTACATACACTTGTTTATATGGTAACTAGTGGCCCGGTGCACGAATTCGTGCACATTGAAAGGAAATTAATTAGAAGAAATATTTTAATGTCGCTATTCACCCTTCCTCTATAATAGAAGTGTCAACCAAATTCACGATTGACAATGACAGATTGAAACACACGTGTGCAATTGGCCCCAGTGAGAGTTTTATATGTATTGCGTATATGTGGGTCAACTTAGCCTTTTATATATATAGAATAAACTTGCTTAATTAGACCAGCTTTCTGATGTAGCTAAACTTTTCCCAGCCCAGTGAAGCACCCCAATTTCTCTTTCAGGTAATTGTCAGCAACACAGCAGTATATATCAACATGAACAGATTATTATTGTAGATCATGCAGGGAGAACAAAGGGTGAAATATTTAACTGCAGCAGTGTTTGACTATATTCTGTGCAGTGAGAAAACCTTAAGTCATTTTCAAGATTCATCATTTCTTCTTTTCAGTCAGGTCAAGTTTCTAAGCTTTCTAAATCTTCATTTTCCGGCTAATGAAAAGCAAATAGGATTCCACTGAGTCTCCTCTCTACCTACTCCAGGACTTCTGTGAGGATCAAATGAGATGAGGCATGAAATGCTTCACAGACATTTGGTTACAGTGTAAAATGTTTCCACCTGGCTATAAAGCAAGTCGTGTTCCTGGGCTGAAGAAACTCGGAGGAGGCTAATTGCTAGGGAGAGGGAGCTGGGTGTTGTTATGTGACATCATTACCTGGAGCCCACAGCCACCGTTTCAGGGCTGGGCTGGGCTGTGGGCCACATTTTGCACCATGGGGTCTCAGCAGCGTCGGCTGCGATTTGGTGGGGTGTCACTCCAGGGTGGTGGTGGGGCCTGTGTCCCACTTGGGGGAAGCCGAGTGTTGCTTTGTGGGCACCAGGTCGAGGTGCCGTTTCTCTGTAAATGGCCAGTGCGCATCACTGTAGCTCCTGCATTGAGCTTCTGCCCCCTGGTGGTCAGTGTGCATCATAGGTACCGGTCAGATGGATACTTAGCATATTAGCCTTTTATATTTATAGATAAGTGTTCTCTGTGGATTAATTTTCTCATTCCAACCTCAGCAAACAGGATTGTAGTTCTCCCCATTTTACAGATGAGGAAACTGATACACAGGGAGGTCAAGTGGTATGGCCTTGGGGTCTGTCACCTTGATGTTAAGTGGGTCTGGGGAACCCAGGCCATTGCACTTCAAACACTGCCTTACTGACTAACCACCATCTAAATTTGCCTGTGTCTGGCTCTCTGGTGAGTGGGTGTCCTTCCCTGAGCTTGTGTTCTGTGCCCCACCAGATGCTAATGGGCAAGCCAACTGCCCAGAAGCCATCCAGTGACCTGCTGGATGCCAGCGTGGTATCGGTCACCTCTCGCTACATTGAGGAGCAACAGGCCACACAGCAGGTTTGTGTGGCTGGTCAGTCATGGGCTGGGGGAGCTCAGGTCTCCCTGATGACAGCAGTTCTCACCTCTCCATTCTGCAGCTGATCATGGACCAACAGGATGAACAGCTGGAAATGGTGTCTGGGAGCATCCGGGTTCTGAAACACATGTCCAGCCGCGTTGGGGAGGAGCTGGATGAGCAGGGCATGTGAGGCCAGGACCCCCAGGGTGGGCCGGGAGCCTGAGGCCGGCTGCCCTTCGAGGGCTTACACCATCTTGGTCTTGGCAGCATGCTGGACACCTTTGCTCATGAGATGGACCACACCCAATCCCGGATGGATGGGGTCCTCAGGAAGATGGCCAAAGTGTCCCATATGACAAGTGGTGAGTTCTCTGGGGGGAGGCAATTTGGGGGGGGGGTGGAGGCATGGGGTGGTGCTGCCTCCCTCATGACTTCTGACCCTCTTACCCCTAGACCGCCGACAGTGGTGTGCAATTGTGGTGCTGTTGGGGGTGCTTCTCCTGGTTCTCATCCTGCTCTTCTCTCTCTGATCCTGGCTCTCCCAGGGGGCTGATCCCTCAAGCTGGGGGAGCTGGTAGGGCCCTGCCCCCTGGGAGGAGGGTATCATGTTTGGGGAGTTGTCCCAAGGCTCTCGAGAGCCAGTGGGACCTTCAGGGCCCTTGGTTGGAGCCCCCGCCACTGGTCCTTTCTCAAGTGCACTTAGGGGGTGGTGGAGGTAGGGGGACCTCAGATACACCCTGCCCCATTTCTATTTCCAGTGTCCCAAAGCCATTTATTCACCCCTATGCCTTCTATATGTGCCAACTTGGAAATAAAATCCCAGCCTTTTTTATACGTATTTAGATCATATGGTATGTTGACTCTAAACTTGTGGCTGCTTCCTGAGTGGGAACTCTAAACTTCATTTGCACGCACAGGTGTGTGCGTGTGTGTACGCATGTGTGCGTGTTAGGGATTTCAGTGGCCAGTATTAGGTGCAGAAAAGACTATTCTGGTTAATTTCTTGGTTTTCATGATGGATAATTTTATTGCCACTGAAAATTTTAAACCATGAATGTTTCTTGAGCGTTTGAAGTTCAACCTAAACATCTTTTGCCTGTTCTGTACCCAAAGTAGGTAAATGCTTTAGCCATGGAGCTGAGTGGTCACTTCTGAGGTGCCTCCAAGTAACGCTGGGCTCCACTGCACAGCTGGTTTCTAGTTCCCTCTGTGATGCATCACTCTAATAGGGCAGCGTTTGTAAATTTAAGGGCTTTGCCATAGAGCCTTCCTGAGTGTGAAATGATTCCTATATAAGCTGGGTAAACTTGTAAGCACTGTGAACCTTAGATATCATCAGACCTTTCCATCCCCCACATTAATCAGGCGTGGGAACCATGAATCTCACTCATATACACGTTCTGGAGTGCTGTATGTTACCAGGATGCTACTCTATCAGGCCAGTTAGTCAAAAAAGAACCAAGTATGTACAGACTCCTTTTTTATGTGATGGTTTGGGTTCTCTTGGCCCATTCTATACTCAGTTCTAAGTCTTTCTGGGGTTAAAAGATGTGCTTCTGGGAGTCAGGTGGGGCAGCATCACCTCTGAATTTTTGTTGGCAATGTTGTTGGTCCTCAAAACCCCTGACAGCTGATGCTGGACTTCAGGACCCCAAATGGGCTGGTCTTACTGAGACATACCCAGTTCATCCTGTGAATTGTAGTACAGTTGACCTCTGAACAACACAGGCTTAAACTGTGCAGTCCATTTATATGCTGATTTTAAAAATAAACACTATAAATGTATGTTCTTTATAACTTTAACCTTTTTTTGTTGTTGTCTATTGTAAGAATACATTATATGGTACCTATACAAAATAGGTGCTCACTGACTATATTATCAGTAAGGCTTCTTCTGGTCAACACTAGGCTTAGTAAAATTTTGGGGGGTGTCAAACGTTCTATGTGGATTTTTGACTGCAAGGGTCAACCTGAAGCATATTAGTCATCGTTCCCATGGACATCATTCCTTTGTATCATGGGTGGAAGGAGCTGGCCTGGGCGGAGATGTAGCCTCCTTGTCCACCTCCCAGCAGATTTTTTGTTGACCAATGGGATCCCTGATAGGTAACTACCCTTCCCAGGCTGCTTGAAATGACTGAATAAATGGGATCCTAAGGCACTTACATGTCTTTATTTGGCTCCATAGAACCTTTTGTCCTTCCATATCCTCGGGATCTATAGCTATGTTTGCCATAATGGAGTGTGGGGGGTGTCAGACCACAGGGCAGCTAGTGGGTCAGTAGCCCATTCAAGGGAGCCTCTTCCCTTCTAGCTTTGGAGGGACTCCCATGCAGGGGCCATGTGTGCAGGAACAGCCTTGGGCAGTGTTGTGAGTCTACATATGGGGTAGCCTGAAGGGTGTTCTAAGTGGAACCCATTGGTGGTCTGGGTCTGCACCTGTTACCATTGGAAAAGAACATGCTGCCCCGACCCGCTCACATGATGGATGTTCTGTCATGTGACATTTGGCATGGCGACTCCCAAGTGCACCCTGAGCTGGACCCTGCTGCATCTGTCAACGTGAGTCCTGAGCAGTGGGGGTGTTGCTCTGCAGAATGAGAACCCAGTGTGCAGCATCTCTTCCAGCCACTACAACCCCTCTGCCCCCCAGTGAGTAGCATGCTGCAGGGCTGTTACAAAGGCGTTTAGTTTATTCTCATCAGTGTTACTGATGTTCTCATGTTCACATTTCCCAGTGCACTCCTCTCCTTACAGTAGTTAATGTGCAATCTCACTTACAGGCTGGGGTGGGGGTGGGGGGCTCAGCCCAGAGAAGGGCAGGTGTTGGCACTCCACGCGGACACAGCAGCTGGCTTGTCCTACGGGAACAGGGGCGGCCAGAGGCCTCCAGTCTTTTTTGCGTTGGTGATTCTCCATTCATGCTCCTTCCTGGCTGTCCAGGTGGGGGTGGGAACCATGCAGCTCAGAGCAGGGCTGGGGGGGAGGGTCAGGAGGGGAGGAAAAGCAGCAGGCCACCTGAAAGGGCAGGGTGGATGGGCACAGGGGTGGCTCCTGGGGTAAGGCACAACCCTGTCTTTGGCTCTCCTGGTGAGGAATTCCCCCCTGCCCCTCAACCCCCCTCTCTCCCACCACCAACACACAGTCCCCTGGAGCCAGGGGCACCTCTTGGGGTCCCTGAAACAAGGGGTTCTGCCACCCAACCCAGTGCTGCAAGGGAATGGAGGAAGGACAGGGGCAAGCCCTGCCTGAAGATAAGACGGAGGGGGACTAGGCAGGGATCTGCCCAGAAAAAGGGTAGGGAGGGAGAGGACACCAGTCCCAGGAGCTGGCCCCCAGCTAAGGCCTGGAAGGGGGAGTACCCGGAGACTCCTGCTTCCTTTGGGGGCTGGCTGGAACCCCAGCCCACCCCTCTGTGGCCCCAGGAGCCCACCAAGTGACCGGGATATTGTGCTTTGGGATGACGCTGGGGTAGAGTGTCAAGGCCAGGATGAGGGGCAGGGGAGGTGCGACTAAGGTGCTTGTGCTTTAGCTGGGGGTGTCAACTCCCCCCTCATACACTTGCCTCCACCCCACACACACACACTTGGGCCAGAAAGAGGAGTGCCAGGATCACAGCCAGACCGGACACCTCCAACTCTACAAACAGATGCTGGAGGGACCCCCTTCCCACAGGCTGGTGGGGGCTACAGGGTGGGGGATGGGGCCTCCAAGTCAGATTCCAAGGGTCCATTGGTATAGCCCCACCCACCTCTAGCAAGCTCCTGCCTCTGGAAGCCATGGGCTGTCAGACTCGGGAGGAGACCAGAAGTGAGAAGAGAGGTGAGGCGAAAGGTGAGGAAAAGGCTAGACAAAAAATGTCAAATGACACCCAGCAGCACAGGGGGGTGGGGAGCAAAAAAGAAAAAGAAAAAAGAACCCTCTGGTTCACATGTAAAACTCAAAAAAAAATCACTCACACTGGATGAGGCTACAAAGAGAGGAATGGTTAGAGACAATTCAGCAAACAACTGCTAACAAATGCAGTGGGTCCTGCCCTGTCCCCAGGAGCTAGGCTCTGCCAACAGGCCAAGACCAGGGATATCCTTCAAATGTAGCCCAGGCGATGGCTGGGCCTGGGGTCCCACCTTGGAAACGTGCACCCATACTCTACATGCACGCACACATTCAGCCTACTCCCGCACCCCTCACCCCATCCTACTTTCCATGGCCCCCAGGGACCAAAGGGGACATCAGACACAGTCCCATTGGTTTGAAAAATAAAAGGAATCTTATACTTCAATATTTCATTAGCTAAAAAAATGTTTTAAAAAGTATGTACAGGGGATGGGAGCTGGGAGCCCTGCCGTGGGATGGGGTGGGGAGGGAGGGAAGGGCAGCAGCCCGCCAGCATGCTCCCCTGGTTCCACTGCCTTTCTCATCTTCATTTATTTTAAAGCAAAACTTCTCCACATTCACACGCACACGCACCTGTGAGCCTCCAAAACCTCTCCTCCTATCCTCAGAAACTCTGGGTCTGTGCCCCTCACTCAGGTCTGAGGGGCCTGATGGGGCAAGAGAGGCTGAGTACAGGGTGGGGAAGAGAGAAGGGTGCTGGGTGCACCACCGCCTGCCACCTTAGGTCAGTTTAGGTCAGTCGTGTAATTTCTCGGAGCCTCAGGTTTCCTCAGCTGTCACAAGAGCAGTCCCCACAGCCTCGCCTACCCCAGCCCCAGGTGCAGGGACAGACGAAGGAGACAGGAAGGCGCTTTTGGAAACATGGAAGCACTGGGAGGTGGTGGCAGGAGGGGTCCTGAGCACCCCGGGGCCCCTGCAAGTCCCATGGGGCTGCAGTGAAGGGTGGAGCAGAGGACTGCCCCTCCCCTGCCCGGCCTGGTTGAGTGGAATGGGAAAACAATTGCTAGGGGTTAGGAGAGGGCGGAGCGAGTACTCCCTGACTGTGTGCGAGAGAGAAGGCCACGCAGAGCTCGCACCACTGCCACCCTCTCCCAGCCCATTCGGATTGGGGTCAGGGGTGGGACGGGAGGCCGAGGGGCTGGAGCATGCAGCACACCCTGCGGGTCCTGGGGAGGGACAGACAGTAGCTCGTGACCAAGATGGTGGGTGGGTGACAGGAGGGGGAGTGTGACTGCCTCATGGAGGGCTTGGTGGGGGTTACTGGAGGCCTCGGCTGAGGGGCCAGCCTCGCCAGCATGGCTGGCTGTTTCAAAGCTGTGCTCCGCGCCCATCATGTCCAGCTCCGGCTTGCCCATGTCACTGATGAAGGTGGTTTAGGTATCACCCTCAGGCGGCTTCCCCTTATGGAGGGCTAGGTGGGGGTTACTGGAGGGCCTCGGCTGAGGGGCCAGCCTCGCCATCATGGCTGGCTGTTTCAAAGCTGTGCTCCACGCCCATCATGTCCGGCTCCAGCTTGCCCGTGTCACTGATGAAGGTGGTGTAGGTATCACCCTCTGGTGGCTTCCCCTTGGGAATCCAGCTCTTCCGCACCACGCGGCGGGCATTGGTGCACATGTCGGCCGCAATGGCATTCATTTCGCTCTCCTTGAAGTTCGGAGCAAAGTTCTGGCAGTAGTCTGTGCGGGGAGAGTGGACAGCTCAGGCCTAGGTGGCCCTGCCTCCCACACCGCCAAAAGGCCCTTGGCCATGCCTGTCCCGACTCCCCCCACCCCCACCCCCAGGACACGGTGGAACCCCTCTTGGAGGTGAGAGAACAGAGGTCTTGCAGAGAGCATGCTAGATCACACTAGCTGGCTCCATGCTTCACTAAGCTCCGCCACATGTAGGACATATGTGGGTTTGACAGGGTGGCCCAGTGGTCTTGAAAAATGTGGATTATTTGCAGAATTTAGGAATTAGGAGACTCCTTCCACCTGCAAACTTAAAGAGTTCTCTCCCAACAACTGGCTGGGGCTTGGCTGCTTCATAACTACCTTGAGTTTGAAGATCCTCCCCACCCTCCCATCGGACACAGGCTTCCCTTCAGTGCCCTGTCACCTCCCCCCCCCCCCCCCCCCCACAA